GTGATCGAAAATTTTTTTTCTGCCTGATGTCTCTCCTATTTATTGGATTTGAGACAAATTCTTTTTTGGAAAAAATGGTTTCACTAATACTTTGATGACCATTTTTTTATTTTAATTTAATTATTAATTTTTCCTATTGGGTTTTTAGGGTTTCGTGGCCCATGGGCGAAAGCCTTATAGTTTCACTTTGGCGTCCGTCTGTCCGTAGTATATTTTGGGGCACCACAGCTATCAAAATCAAATTTTAGGGCACAGATCCCAAATTAAAATTTTGGGGCACCCCAGATCCCAAATTAAAATTTTGGGGCCCCACAGATCCCAAATTAAACTTTTGAGGCACCACAGATCCCAAATTCGAATTTTGGTCAAACATAGCTGCCAAATTCGAATTTTGGGCATACATAGCTTCCAAATTCGAATTTTGGGGCACCACAGATCCCAAATTCAAATTTTGGGGCACCACAGATCTAAAATCTCCATTTACTGAATGGACATTTTCCCGAATGGACATTACATGAATGGACATTACATGAATGGACATTACATGTCCCATTAGTTAACATGCCCCTACAATTGACATGTCCCAGTAGTTGACCTGTCTCAGTAATTGACATGTCCCAATATTTGACATGTCCATATAGTTGAAATGTCCAAGAGTTGACATGTCTTAATAGTGGACATTATCGAATGGACATTTTACCTAATGTTTCAGGTAAATTTATAAAATAAATTTTATTATTTATTTTTAAATTATTTATTTTTGATTTATTTTTTTTTTAATTAAAATTTAAAGCGACTTTAGTTCGCTCAACGCCACAGGGAGGGCGAACAACATAACTGTTTCTCGCAGTTGAGGTGCCATTAGATTGGTATATAAGTAGTGATCGAAAATTTTTTTTCTGCCTGATGTCTCTCCTATTTATTGGATTTGAGACAAATTCTTTTTTGGAAAAAATGGTTTCACTAATACTTTGATGACCATTTTTTTATTTTAATTTAATTATTAATTTTTCCTATTGGGTTTTTAGGGTTTCGTGGCCCATGGCCGAAAGCCTTATAGTTTCACTTTGGCGTCCGTCTGTCCGTAGTATATTTTGGGGCACCACAGCTCCCAAAATCAAATTTTAGGGCACAGATCCCAAATTAAAATTTTGGGGCACCCCAGATCCCAAATTAAAATTTTGGGGCCCCACAGATCCCAAATTAAACTTTTGGGGCACCACAGATCCCAAATTCGAATTTTGGTCAAACATAGCTGCCAAATTCGAATTTTGGGGCACCACAGATCCCAAATTCGAATTTTGGGCATACATAGCTTCCAAATTCGAATTTTGGGGCACCACAGATCCCAAATTCAAATTTTGGGGCACCATAGCTCCCAAATTCAAATTTTGGGGCCCCACAGATCTAAAATCTCCATTTACTGAATGGACATTTTCCCGAATGGACATTACATGAATGGACATTACATGAATGGACATTACATGAATGGACATTACATGTCCCATTAGTTAACATGCCCCTACAATTGACATGTCCCAGTAGTTGACCTGTCTCAGTAATTGACATGTCCCAATATTTGACATGTCCATATAGTTGAAATGTCCAAGAGTTGACATGTCTTAATAGTGGACATTATCGAATGGACATTTTACCTAATGTTTCAGGTAAATTTATAAAATAAATTTTATTATTTATTTTTAAATTATTTATTTTTGATTTATTTTTTTTTTAATTAAAATTTAAAGCGCCACGAAACCCTAGATGTAGGCGCAATTGCGCCTAGTTCTTTTCTATTTTTAATAGTATATTACGATACTAGTCCAGAAAGTTGGATTTCCTGGCGGGCGAGATATATAGGGCCGAGGCCCAATATATCGCCTGCTAGGGCATCCAGCTTTCTGGTCGTGTGTCGTATACAATTTTTCTGTTTCCCCAACCGAAAGTACGCTCAATAATTAATATTAATTAATAAAATGTCATTAATAGCATATCTATATTGTGTCTAATGTAGCGGACTGCGTTAGCGCGCTCTCGTGGTCACCTCTCGAAGCGTATGGTGAAATGTACTTGGTATCTGCTCCTAGCCTCGATCAGCTGACAGCTCGCCCGCCCGACTTTTGCAAAACCGAGGCGAAGCCGAGGTCTTTGCTGGTCGGGGCGGGCACCGAAAAAATTTGTAAAATATAAAAAATATGCAAAAAAAGAAAAAGTAATAATCAAATGTGAGAAATATAGTCTTTCTGTCAAAAGATCTAACCACCTGTGTACATTTGTGCAATTAACCTCCAAGAAGTAGTGTTTATTATAATCATTATAGTTATACAGTTGCCAAAGGAAAGAATTTATTTAGTTTAAAAATTTTAAAAACAGAAAAAACACTCGTTTAAGTGCATTATATTTAAACATAAACTATGTGGTATTATTATTTATTATTATTATTTATTATTTATAGTTAATCCGTGAACAGTAATAAAATGATTGGACAGCCCATTTAACCCGTTATTTATTAATTCTTGACACATAAAACAGTTTAATCTTTCCATTTTAAAAAATGATAAAAATTTCAATAAATGAAAAAAATTCTTCTTAACAAACACCTGAGGACGAAATATGAAAAAATTATACATGAAAAGTATTTTTTACCTAAATTTGATCGAAATTCGCAAAACTTTGAAATTATCAAAAATCTTTGCTTTTTGTGTAGGTGTCAACAACTTTAAAAAACATATTAAAATATACTTACTTAGACAACCCATTAGGGTAAATTAATAATTAAGTTGAATTTCATTTAAATTTTAATTTATGTACCTTTTAAAATTTGAGCGACTTCTGCAGGGATATATGTCGTACTTCGCGGTCACTATTACTATGAGTATAACTATTATACTTATTTAGTATGCACTTACTTTAAACTAAAAAAGCATTATTTCATACTTTAATAGGTAAACGAAGTTACATACTATTAAAAGATAAAGCAGTTTGGTGCTAAAATAGTTCGTTTGTTTTTTCCGTGTAACAAATATTTTTTTTAATATAAAAAAAAACTTTTAGAAAACCTCAAAATCACTGTAATCTCCCCATAATAAAATAATATTTCATTGATAATTATATTTATACATGTTACCAAAATATTTAAGCTAAAATTTGTTTTACACAACTGTCATATTCGCTTGATTAATGACATGCATTTCTAAGCTTATAGTAAACAAAGAAAAAATTGCCTTTTTCTACAGAAATAATTGCCATATATATGCATTTACTTTAGTTATACGACAAAAATTGCTGTATTCTAAAGCACATTATATATTCTTTTTTCAGTGATAGTTTATTTTCAAATTTTTTAATAACTGGGAATCCTAGGTCGGGCCTAGCTGATACCCACTTACAAACTGGGCTAACCTGGCAACTTTTCCACATGTGTTGTCATTAAGTAGCTGAATTTTATATAAATTAAGAAAAAACGTTCAGGTGTCGAAAACTCAATGAAGTGCCATAGATGTTTCAGGAAGCAATAGAAAATGACATATGTACATATCACAAGTTAAATCTAACCTTCTTTTCCATCTTTATTTGTCTTGTAAAAATTTTATTTATTATATTATTATTACATTTAAATATAGTGGGTTAGAATAAGAAATGATTTACGTTAGACGCGATATTTTCATAGTCTGTTTAGAAGAGTACAATTGCTTTATAAAATATCTATCCTGTGGTGATATTACATACTTTTTTCTTAGATTAAATATTATCTTCTTTTAATTATAAATTAATTATGAATTAATCTTTAATAGTAAAATTACACAATTAATATTACTTTTATAAAAATTTTATGATTACTTAAAGGAATTTAAATAATCGTATAGTTTAAAGTTCAATTTATATACTTATAATATAAAAAGATAATCTAGTTCTCAGGAAGTGTAAGAAAGGTAATTATAATACATATTCTTAGACAACTTATGAAAAGCGAATGAAACTGCAAACACATTAAATTTTTAATCTCAGTTTCAAATATATTCCAAAACTGAACTTCAACAGAATTTTAAAGCAGTTATATAAAATTTTTCGGATACAGTTCTAGAACTACGTTGGAACGTCAGTTACAGGTCATTTGTGACTATTATGTTATGTTACAGAACTGTGACGCACGCATAATATAGTACATTTATTGAACGTGTTTGCTGGGGCTATCCACAGATATTTAACAAGTGTTAAAAAGAAGCTTCCTGTGAAGAAGTCAGCAAGCAAATACCAAAGTGTCTTAGGTCTAATGTACAAATAGTTGTCATGAAGCATTTGACACCTTTATAACAATTGCCTGAAGACCGTATGAATGTTCCAAGAAAATTTCTGATTTTCGACTATGTATTGTTAATTTTTCTTTAATTTATTTGACTAAACTTGAGACTGAAATTAAACCTTACATTGATGACTTTTTCAAATGAAATTCTCTATAATATTTATTTTAAACATTTCCCAATTTTATTTTAATGTAGTCGTTTACTTTACACTCAAGTTGGTGAAAAAATTAGTTATTTTTTTACTGATTCAGATTTAAAGAGCAGGTTTTAACGGCCTGAGTGTAGTACACAATTGTGAAGTTAAAAATTTCTTAATCAATAATATTTGATTTACTAAAATTTTTTTACACAAAATATCTCAATACTTATTGTTATTGAGGAGCATTAGCTTTATTAAACATTTTGTCTACTAAGGCAATTAATGGCATTCAAATTTTCTGCAATATTTGAAAAAAAATTGAAAGAAATTGAAGCAAAACATACTGAGGGCATTAAATGGTATTAAGGAATAAAGTGGCATTTACTGGGATTCAAAAGCACGCGATTGTTTAGTTTTTTCAATGCCTTTTACTCCACTGCTTCTTACCGGGTCAACGTTTAGTTTAGTCCTTGACATGCAATACTGTGATAATGCAATTTTGTAAAGAAAGTTATTCTATCTAGGTAGTATAATCATTTCTAATAATTGTTTTTTAGGCGCTTGCCTTAGCTTGGTTGTGGGATTACAAATTCGCTTGCGAGCCAGTGGATTTTTCAAATGATCCTAAAGCTCTAGAGGTATTTATTACATTTTATTGCAAATTTTTCTATTAAACTCATTCGTTAATTTCCTTTAATATTTTCAGATAGCCGGAACAGTATGGCTTTATTTTATCGTAAAAATAATCGATCTTTTCGACACTGTCTTCTTCGTACTTCGAAAAAAGTACAATCAAATATCGTTCCTTCACGTATATCATCATACTGGAATGGTAATTGGAGCCTGGGGTGCAGTTAAGTATCTTCCCGGGGGCCATATTACGTTTTTAGGTAAGATAGAAATTACACTACGAAGTACATTTACTACTATGGCTTGAAACTCGTTAATCGGGGATTTTCAAGATCACTAAATATGGAAATGACATCAGATTTTTATAAAGTCTGCCATTTTGTAGTTTCACAATCTGATACCAGATTCGTAATCAGTGACTATATTGGTTCTTTTAAAATGAAAAACAGTATTTCAAAATGAGTAGCGTACTCTACTTTTCTTACGCAGCAAAAATGATTTAGGTAGATGGCTCCACGTTCAATGTCGTTCAGTATTGGCTCACTTTGAACTGAAACAAAAATAAGACTAGGTTTATTGTGTGTAAAAAAAATATAAAAAAATTTATTCAATTTAAAAATAAAAAATTTCCAATTGCATTGCAGTGGAAGAGTGGATTAACCCTGGCATTTCTTTTCACGGTTTTTAGACCTCAAAAACCGTGGCATTCGAACTTTGAACATTTTTAACTGAAAAATTGAGAGCGCACCAAAGCTGGGCAAAGCCTGGAATTTTTATTCACGGTCTTTAGACCTCAAAAATATTATATATAATAAAAATAAATAATGATATATCAAATAAATAAAAATATAATATATTATTCATATTATATTTTTTAATTTTTTTCTAATTTTGAAAGTCTTAACAACGAAATTCTAAAAATTTATTATTTTATCATAAAAGAACCTGGTATTTTATTGAAAATGTTAGATTTACAAGAAATTTTATTAATGAAAAAAATATAAAAAGACAATGAGAAAATGAAATATAATTTTATATTTCATTTTCTCATTGTCTTTTTATATTTTTTTCATTAATAAAATTTCTTGTGAATGAAAAGCATTTAATTAATCGATACATGAATATTATTAAATTAATATAATAATATTCATGTATCGATTAATTAAATGTTTTTCATTTTGGCTAACACCAAACTCTATTGTTAAACTTTAAATTTAATTTTTTAAATTTTTACTCAATTAAAACTGTGAAAAATATATAAAAAAAGCTTATATTAAACTCAAAATTTGTTATTTCTTCAGATATCATTTTAAAAAATAAACATATATATATATATATTTTTTTTAATAATTGAATATTTAAATTAAATAGTAAACAATATATTATAAAATAATAAATTATCTTACTGAATCAAATTATCCAAAGATCTTAAAGAATTTTCTTTTTGTCGATTTATAATAATTTTCAAAATTTCTGTATCGATTTATTTTACAATTTTTTCATTGCTAAATGAAATTATAATTAAATTATATTCATCGAACGTACTTTAACTTCACTTTTAAAGTATTCATAACTTTTTTTACAAATTGTAGATCAGTATGAAACTTTCATTTAAAATAAATAAAAAGTAATTTGACATTTTATTCTCTATTTCACTTTTGACAATATTTGACATGTTAATTGCATTTGTTTTTAACAACCAAATTCAGTTTATGTATGCCATTTAGTGAAAAGTGCATTCCTTACAGAAAAAAATGTCAATGATAAAAATTTTTTGTTTAGTTTTTTGGTGCAAAAGTAAAGAATGACTGAATTTCGTGAACAAATGGAATTAGAATGTCAAATGTTGTCAAAAGTGGAATTGAAAATAAAATTATTATAAATCGACAAAAAAGAAAATTTTTGTAAGAACTTTGGATAATCTGCTTCAGTAAGATAATTTATTACTTTACAAAATATATTTTTCTACTATTTAATGTAAATATTCAATTATTAAAATATATATATATATTCATACATATGTTTATTTTTTCAAGTGATGTCTAAAAAAATAAAAAATTTCAATTTAATATAAGCTTTTTTTATATATTTTACACAGTTTTAATTGTGTACAATTTAATAAATTAAATTTAAAGTTTAACCATACAATTAATGCAAACGTTATTTCCCGGGAATATTTTCACGTAGAGTTTGGTGTTATCCAAAATGAAAAACACAATCAATACATGTATATTATTATATTATATAATTATATTTTATTTTCTGATTATCTTTTTATATTTTTTGTATTAATAAAATTTCTTGTGAATCTACCATTTCCAATAAAATACCAGATTCTTTTATGCTAAAATAATAAATTTTTTATTGGCGATTCAAACAGCTACACTAGCGCCACAGTTGAACTAATTTAGGCGTGACTCGCTCTGTAGCACTCCATGTGTTTTAAATTATTTTTTTTTATTTAACGCTTAAAAATAATTTTACAAACGCAATAAAAATATCAGAATAATTAAATAATTTGAAATAAACTGTCAAAACAGAGACTGCTTTAGAGCGAGTCACGCCTAAATTAGTTCAACTGTGGCGCTAGTGTAGCTGTTTGAATCGCCAATAATTGCGTTGTTAAGAGTTTCAAAATTAGAAAAAAATTGTACAAAATATAATATAAATGATATATTATATATTTATTTATTATTATTTATTTTTATTATATATAATATTTTTGAGGTCTAAAGACCGTGAAAAGAAATGCCAGGCTTTGCCCAGCCTTAATTCACTCTAAAATTGTGAATAAAAAATTACAAAGGTCGATAGCCATGGTTTTAAAGGTCTAAAGACCGTGAATAAAAATGCCAGGCTTTGCCCAGCTTTGGTGCGCTCTCAATTTTTCAGTTAAAAAATTTCAAAGTTCGAATGCCACGGTTTTTGAGGTCTAAAAACCGTGAAAAGAAATGCCAGGGTTAATCCACTCTTCCACTGCAATGCAATTGGAAATTTTTTTGACAGCTTTTAACCAGGCATTTCCCATGCCCTGGGAAGTGATCATTAGCAAGGGTAGCGCCAAGGTTGGCATAGGCTTTTTGAAACCTTTCCCCATAGTGTTGCCAGCCTTGGTCCATTTTTACGCGGGATAGAGTTTTACATAAAGATAAAAAAAACATTTAAAAAATTGCTATTAATGGATTCTATCAAAAAAATTAAACTCTCATAGCACAATATATTGTTGTAAGGTGCAAACTTCAGGTCAGATTTAAATTTTCAAAGGGTTAAACAAAATTTTAACAATTATTTATGCGTAGTAGTTTTCTGCATCATCTAATCAAATTTATTAATTGAACTAGCAGCTTTGTCGTCCGCAAGCGGCCGACTACGTTGCTAGTGTACATTAACCATATTTTTTATTCATTTTTTTTCAAAAAAAATTTAATATTAGAAATGTAAAAAAAATTTCTTTATATTGGATCTACCACCCAAGTAGCACGGAATATTGCTTGAATGTCAAGCTGATATCAACCGGGAATATTTTCGTGACATTCAGGCGATATCATAATGTCCTCTTCACGGGGTCAATCCTCGGTGATGTATCTATGTGACGGTCTCTCACACAAAAAATGTAACGCATTACAAAACTTACATTCTACATTTATTAAACCTAAATAATTCTGTGGAACTTTACTTTCATCGAAATCTTCAAAAGACATTATTGCAACTCCAACACTTTTTTTTATTCCGATTATCGTTTTTACATATCAAATTCTCTTCTTCACACATTCGTTTCATCTTCCGTTGCCGTAGAAAATTTTTTTTTCTTACATGACAAATTATTTTCTTGACGCACTTTCTTTTCATCTTGAGTTGCCATTGATATTTTTCTTTTCCTACATGCAAAATTTTTATCCTTGCGTATTTTCTTACCATCTTCAGTTTTTAAAGATAATTTCTTTTTTTTGCGCTCTTTCTTTTTTATTTCTGTTTTATTACGATTACATTTTCTCAATCTCTCATTCTCCTGTCTTATTACTTTCGGCTCATATGTAACTTCGCGCCTTGCCTTCCTTTTTCTTCCCTTCTCTTTCATTGCTCGATTTATCTTTTTTTGAAAAAAATTTAATATTAGAAATGTAAAAAAAATTTCTTTATATTGGATCTACCACCCAAGTAGCACGGAATATTGCTTGAATGTCAAGCTGATATCAACCGGGAATATTTTTGTGACATTCAGGCGATATCATAATGTCCTCTTCACGGGGACATTCCTCGGTGATGTATCTATGTGACACTACCAAAAGGTTGTTGATCAACAGCTTCAAAAACTACTGTTGGTTTAAAAGGGAACAATCTAATTAAATATTTTATTTGATGCACATTTAAACACCCCTCATTAAGGCTATCAAAAATATAAAGCCTTACTCTATCGTAATAGACACAAATATGTTTATATGAGGTGAGTTTATCACCTTCTTTAATTGGGACAATAAAATCAAGCATTTGTACATACAAAGCACTTTGCATATTGAAAAAGGAATTGTAATCTTTTTTTAATAAATCTTCAAATTTGTACATATGCATGTAATTTAACAATTTATTTCTATTTTCAATAATTTTTAAATTTTTATCACTTAAAATAACATACTCTTTTATGTTGGCTATAGTGTACTTCGTTTAATTTTATTTTTGATTCATGAAAATCTAAATATCTTAAACCCTTTTGCTCACTCTCTCTAATATAACCAATTTTTCCATTAATTCAATATAACCAATTTTTACTTTAATCCAATATAACCAATTTTGCCTTTTATCCAATAAAACTACCAAATATCCAAAAGAATGAGAGAACTATGAGTAACTATGAATCAGTAACTACTGATCAGCCAATAAGTGCAAAAAGGACACTCTTATATGAGTAATCAGTAGTTAAATAACATATATACGTATTTATACCTGCATTAAAACCCCGGAACAAATACCACAAAAAAACAACCATTGGACAATAGAACCTTTGTTAATGAGGATTAACTCTGAGGACCCAGGTAATAATTTCTTTTTTCACATTTATTATATAGAAAAATAAAGATGTACCAACCCTTGGTACAATTCTGAGTACATAATGAAATGTACTGTAGGTTTACATTGACATCGGCACGTCTGACGTCTCGAAATTTTTTCCGTGTATTATCACATGGAAATTTAAAGATAAAAGTCATAACTGAAGAGGTAATGTATATCTTTCTTTCTCACATCAAGGAATATAACATATAAACATTTTCATTTAATATTGCATTTCTCTATTTAGAGGATTCAAAATACAGGTAGGGGAGAGTGATAAACAGTAGGACAGTTTAAACAGTAGGACACTTTAATTTTCTGAAAAACTACTTAAAGAAACTCTACCAAAATTTAAATGTAAACCATGTTTATGACAACACACTATCTCCAAAAATTTTAGCCACATTGATTGATTATTTACTAAGAAAATTGAAAAAAACTGTTATTGACGTTACGGAGTAAATTTTTTCTTGAAATACAATGCTGATTTTTATATAGATAGGACAGTTTTTAAAAAAAGTGTAATTGTTACTTCGTTTACTCATATTTTTAAGTATAATATCCAATAATTTAAAATATTTTAAAATTTTACAAACAATTTTTATTTAAATAATTTCTTGCGACTGCTCAATTTAAACAGTGGGACATTAAACACTGGGGCAGGCAAAAATTTAAGTTTATAAAACGTGGATTTTGGCAACACTAATTATAAGTTGTGTCAGCTATACGCATGCGCATTTATACTTACACAGCGACTAAAAATGTGATTTTTTTATGCTAAAAAACATTGAAAAATTCAAAATTTATAATTATTACAATTATTTTTCGGCAACATTTGAAAAATAACACTTGATAAGAGAACGACTATTCAAATTTTCCTCCAAATTGTTTTTAGGTTATGACCAAATTATGACGTATGATCAGCAGTACTGTAAACGTAAAAAAAATAATAGCAATTTTTCATATGAAACTTGACATCGTATTATAAAAATGTAAAATATTATTAAATTATGAGTGTTTTGCAACATTTGTTAACGTTATTTAATGCAAAACATATATATTTACAAAGTATGGAGCAGAATATTATTATTGAAACAATTATTCATTATTTAATAATAGGTGTCCCACTGTTTAACACAAACCTTCAAAACAAGACAGATGTATCAAGTTCCAAAAACTTAAAATTTTTCTTTTTCATCACAATATAATTTAAATAGAATATATGCATTATGTAGAAAAGAGTTCAAACTTTATGGTAATACCAAAAAGTGTCTAAAAATATATAAAATTGACATATTAATATGTCTTTGAAAAAAAGTGTCCCACTGTTTGTCACTCTCCCCTACATACATATATACATATATATGAATATTTTTTTTTTATTTTTAAAACAAAAAGGAAGAACTTTAAGATTTTAGACGATGATATTCTTATGCCATTTTCAATCGTCTAGATAGAGAAACGCAATGTTAAACAAAGAAGTACTTATGTTATATTCCTTGGTGTAAGAAAGAAAGGTATGCGTTAGCTATTCAGTTTTACACTTTCTTTATAGCTTTTTCACGTGATAAAGGGAGAAAGAAATAATTAATTAATCCTTTTTAACAGATTGCAGGTCAAGCGAACCCTCATTTGCAAAATAAAGATATATTTTTCTCTCTCCATAACTTGTTCTTCTCTCTGTCACCGAAAACCCAGCAAGGGTCCGGACGGAATGAGTAAATGAATGAATACCAAGATTATTATAGTTAATAAAAATAATGTAAGCTTGAAGTAAGATAGCAGCAAGTTTACAGTGAGCTTAATTGAAGAACTATTAACAATTTAAACCAGAAGTTTACGGTGTATGATTACCAATAGCTTACAGTGTAATCTTGTTGTAGAGCAGACATTTGCAACTCATCTTAGTCTCACTTGAAGTTTACCAAATTGATGTTTAGGCTTAAAGGAAACTTACAACAATATATTGTGCTATGAGGGAAAATTTTATTTAGGCCATATTACCAGTTCGACTCTCATTGAAATAAAAGTTTGACTTACTAAAAAGTAAAGAAATTAAATAAAGTAAATTAATGAATCATTTTAATTTTTTGCAGGTCTAATTAATTCATTCGTCCATATCGTCATGTATAGTCATTATTTGGCAACGTCTTTAAAACTTGGTAAGCCCTGGTGGAAGAAGTACATCACTCAACTCCAATTGGTCCAATTCGTCTTTATTCTGTTCCACTTCGCACAACTTGCTTGGGTGAAAAATTGTGCATTTCCAAGATGGCCAGCTGCTATTATGGTTCCACAAAATCTTTTCATGATTGTCCTTTTTGGCGATTTTTATTATAAAACTTACATTAAGAAACGTATCGCTAAAAATGCTGGACAAAATGGATTTTCCAAACACTTGTCTAATGGAAAATCCAAACATCAGTAACACTCAATCGAAATTTGACATTTCCATTTTTGACGTTCGAGATTTTTCATCGATCGTGAAAAATTAATTATAGAATAAGGGGCATTTCACAAATTACATAAGTTTTATTTTCGGATTTATAAATAATTATAAGCAATTACAATAGGCAAACATTAGCGCCATTTTTTAATGATCGTTAGAAAATCCTCCCTCCCCTTAAAACCTTACGTAATTTGTGTATGGACCCTAAGACCGGAAAAGATAGAAGACCGAAAATTTTTTTTTCTGTCAAGTTGAAACAGTCGCAAAGAGACTAACGAAGAGAATATGTTGCTTTTCAGTTAGATCAGAAAAAACAGTTTTAATGTTTTTCCTAATTATTCTTAAAATTCCGAATTTCTAACTAGATAGCACGTTATATTTTGTAAATATTGCTGCAATATTAATATGTCATTTCCCAAAAATATCACTTACATCTTAAGACTTTAAATCACCCACGTGTTAAAATTCTTGGGAATTTTCGATCAAAAATTCTAATAGGAAAATCCGACGGAATTGCAATCGGAAATTTTAATTATTTTATTTTAAAAGTTAAAATAATTATTTTTTCATTTAACAAATAATTTTCCTCGTAATCAGGAGTCATTTAGAATATCATTCTCGAAGATTTTTTTATTCCTTTTGACAAACCAAGTCATCCGGATACACAGAAAAAACCTAGTCTCATTTTTGTTGCAGTTCAAAATGAGTCAATGCTAAAGGACATAGAAAGTGGCGCCACCTTCCTGACTCATTTTGAGACCAGGTTTTTTCTGTGAAATAAGTTTTATCACCCCTATGACTTTGTTTGACAAAAGGAACAAAAAATCCTCCAGATAGTTGTTCCACTGATTCCTGGTCAGCAGGATGATTATTTTTATCATCCTGATAAATTGTCAAAAGGAATAAAACACCTCGAGGACGATATTCCATTGACTCTTGGTCAGAAGGATGATGCCTCATATCATCTAGATGATTTGGTTTGTCAAAAGGAACAAAACATCCTCAAGGATGATGTTCCAAATGACTCCTTATCATCCGGTAAATTGTTTGTTTAATGAATCCCTGGCGGATTGTATGATGCGAATGCTCCACGAAATTGGAGGAGCATTCGTGGAGCACCCCTACCGAAAGAGTGGTACTGGAATGGTACTGAATTGGACTTGGCTTGAGTTCCACTTCAGTACCACTACCTGATAACCCATAAGAAGACATTTTTAAAGTACTTTAACAATAGTTTTAAAGGTATGTTAGAACACCAAAACATCTCTCACGATATCCGTTTAAAACAGCAAAAAAAACATAATAGTTTGTAGAAAATTTCAGTTAAGTTTGGAAATTATATTGCAATCCCTCCTTGAACAATAGAACCCTAGGTCCTTTGTTGAAGGATTATAATTTTAATCCGAGTTTTATTGCTTAAAAAATTTGTTATTTTAATAACTCAACTTAAAAAAATATTTATTGAGATTCGTTAATATTTCCAGATTATGAATATCTAAAATTTATCATAAAATAATTACATTTAAAAAAGTTGTAATTTATCACGTATACCTTAAGTTTGATTAAAAAAAGGGACATCATTTTTGAATTTAGCTGCCAAAGGAAATATCATATGCATAATAATGTATGAAAATAATATAAATCCATGAAAAACAAATATAATATTGAAATAAATATAAAGTATTAGTTTAAACATATTGAAAAAGCTAGTCGCTTTTCACTTTTATGAGGGTATTAACGGTAACTCGACCCTTTTCGCAGGTAAATTTCCCAGTTCCATTTCAGTACCAAAATGAACTAAATTAGTACTGAGTTGGTATTGAGATCTCAGTTCCAATTTCCCAGTACCAATCCAGTAGCACCCTTCCGATAGGAACGAGATAGAAATTTTATCTAAAATGTATAAAAATGATGAAATTGATAATATAATTATTAAAATCAATAAGTTTTATGCATTTTAAGATGAGTATTGTTGAATAATTATAAAATTTTTATGTTTTTATTAATTTCAATATATTGCAGTTGATTGTCAACATTTGTCGATAAGATCAATAGAGCCGCGCTTTTTAGCAGGAAGGTGGCAGCACTCTTATTTTCTTTTCTTTACATTTTTTCCATATTTTTTTTATCAAGAGCAAAATTATTTGTTCAACGGAAATATTAGTAAAAAAATGTATTATTTTATTTAAAAAAATTAATATTTTATTTTAAAAAATTAATATTTTATTTTAAAAAATTAATATTTCATTTTAAAAAATTAATATTTTAACAAAAAAATATTATTGGTATAAAAAAATAAATTTTATTTATCAAAAAAAAAATTTGAAAAAAATTCATTTTAAACGTAAGGGAGAGTCGGTAGTGGCGAGACACGTTTTGTTTTTTTGTTATAGCACTCACATTTTCAAGAACATCAAGTCTGTATATATATCCATGGACAGGTGTGACTCTATACTGCAAATTTAACTTATACAGTTACAGAACAGATATTGGAAAAAAAAGTTATTGCCGATTTACGATAATGTCTCGCGACTACCGACATAAAAAATCGTCCGTAGTGGCGAGACACTATATCTTAAAATCAGAGTCTTCATCGTTCAAACGTAACAAAAAACAAAGGAATCAAAGAGAAAGAGTATAATAATTGAAGCCTTTAAATCATAATATTGTTTCATTCAATCATAAAAATACAGGCAAATATTTTTCTGATTGTGAGCCGCTAATCCATGTCACAGTTATTAAAAACAAATAAGCTTTTCTTCCTGTTCATCTTTTTCAATTTAAACTATAGTTATGAAAAATATTGTCGACAAAACGTACAAAAATTATATCAAATTCATTAGGACATGTACAATATTATTAGATATAAAAAGCCACTGCCGACAACAAGTGTCTCGCCAATGCGGAAACAGCATTTTTCGGTAATGACGATGTACAATCCTATGCATCGAACAATAATTCATAGTGCTCTGGAAATTTTGAAGGAAACTTAAATACTAAAGACTCAAAACATTTAACCCTTCAGAAAATTCCGGAAATTTTTATATATTATCACTTATACCGATGGGAAATAAAACTTTTAAAATATCTTGAAACTGTTATTAACAGTATAGCGATATTTCGTACATCAAAAACGTATGCATCATATTGAAAAGTTAAAGCACAATAAAACTTGTCTTTCAGGCCAGAAGTGCCAGCACAGTCAGTTCAGCTGTCTGAAATATCCTAATGTCTCGCCACACAGGCTGTCTCGCCACTGCGGATAACGCCCTAAATAATAGTGAAAAAAACTGTATTAGGGTCAGTTTGGGTAAATGGGGACAAAATCGTTATTTTTTACAAATTACATAAGTTTCTTTCATTAAAAGGTAATAATTGCGGGTTTATATTTTTTTAAGTTGTTATTTACATTCCCAGGATTAATTTTATGCTCCAGAAAAATGTTTAGATAAGCTTCAAACGCATGAAACTGACTGTCCCCATTTACCCAAAAATTTAGAAAATTTCATAAAATTTGGAGTAAATGGGGACAGCATAGTTTCTAAGAAAGTTTTGAGAAAAAAATAAGAGTGCTGCCACCTACCTGCTAAAAAACGCGGCTCTATTGATTTTAGCGACAAATGTTGACAATGACCTGCAATAAATTGAAATTAATAAAAACATAACAAATTTTATAATTATTCAACAATACTCATCTTAAAATGTATAAAACTTATTGATTTTAATAATTATATTATCAATTTCATCATTTTTATACGTTTTAGATAAAATTAATTTTAAACGTAAATAATGGTGAAAAAAATGTATTAGGTATTTCATCAAAAAAATTGATTTATTAGTAATAACAAGGAGGGGGTTCTTTATGTTTATTTCATAAACATTATGCTTCCTCATTGTGTGAAGCAAAAAATTCGCTTCCTCGTGAAGGAAGCAATGAATTTGTCCAATTCAATTGATTGATTTAAAAAATTTCGAGTTAAAAATGTTTTAAATTAATTAAATTTTTTGAAAAATAAAGAAAATTTTAATTAATTTTGAGTGTAACATAAACTTTATATATACGAATCGATTCGTTTTAATGCAAGGAATACAATTATTTTATTCATCAACTTGTATTTAAAAAAAAACACAAAATTTTTTAGCTAAAATATGAATTTTCGATTTTTCAATAATTGTATTCCTTGCATTAAAACGAATCGATTCGTATATATAAAGTTTATGTTACACTTAAAATTAATTAAAACTTTCTTTATTTTTCAAAAAATTTAATTAATTTAAAACATTTTTAACTCGAAATTTTTTAAATCAATCAATTGAATTGGACAAATTCATTGCTTCCTTCACGAGGAAGCGAATTTTTTGCTTCACACAATGAGGAAGCATAATGTTTATGAAATAAACATAAAGGACCCCCTCCTTGTTTACTAATATTTCCGTTAAACAAATAATTTTGCTTTTGATAAAAAAAATATGGAAAAAATGTAAAGAAAAGAAAATAAGAGTGCTGCCACCTTCCTGCTAAAAAGCACGGCTCTATTGATTGACTCTATGTTGACTCTATCGGCTTTATGTTGACAATCAACTGCAATATATTGAAATTAATAAAAACATACAAAAATTTTTAATTATTCAACATTACTCATCTTAAAATGCATAAAACTTTTTGATTTTAATAATTATATTATCAATTTCATCATTTTTATACATTTTAGATAAAATTTCGATCTCGTGCTCCACGAATGCTCCTCCAATTTCGTGGAGCATTTGCATCATACAATCCGCTAGGGAAGAAATAATTTTTTCAATTTTTCAAATGAAAATAAAAGTTAACTATAATTCATAAATAATTAAGCAAATAGAAATAATTAGTCAATTGTTGTCTATATATTATAAATATAAAACAGTTCACTGTATTATTAAATTTAAACAATGAACAATTCGTTAAATTTGTATCCCTGTACAAAGCTCGTCTGTTGAGTAAATTTGGATAGAAGTTGGTGCAGCCAAGTTTGAAGGTTGCATACATCCAGGTGTCAGAAATAAGATTTGTCAAATTGTAAGTTTAAGAATGCCCACTGGTATAAAAAGTAAACTTAATACTTTTTATAAAAAATTCTACTAACTATATTCAAGAAATATTCAGGAAAGTTTCAAAATAAAATTGAAAAATGTTTATTCACAAAAATGCAATCCTTGTATTATTCAAATTTTTGAGCTTGGCTGAGTCAAATTTTGTCAAATTTTATTCAAGAAAACGAAATGTCTAATGCAAAGACAAGTTTGAATTATTTTTAAATTGGAAAATTTGTTAATAATATTTTTTTTTCGTTTTTTTTTTGAATTACGTCAGACACGCAATTTCATAAAAATGGCTCATTTATTTCCTTCATCTTTTTAGTAAACCTGATCTTCTACAACTATTAAAATGTAATCAACATCGAAATACCATTTCGCTTTATCTTCAAGTCATCATATATTTAAAATTACTTGTCATTTCTCACACTTGTAACATACATATATAATAATGACATTAACAGTAATTGCAATCTTCGTCACAATGCACATATATTTTTCATTCTAGTTTACAATTTGTCCCATATATTTAAATTTTCTAGCATTACTACGTCTACAATAGAAATTTCCGTAAAATTTATTTAAAAAAAAGTTTTCATATTAATATCATATTTTGCTTGAATATTTTCATTACATTTTATATCAATTATGAATTAAATAATTAATTTCAAAGAGAACTAAAGTTTACTTACATCAACTATGTACAGAAATATATAGAAAATTAGTAAATCCTTTAATTTTAACCACCATCTGACTTATTAACAGATCTTTTACCTAAGATATATAACTTAATCATTTAAAATATTTCACCAACACTGTAAGTATTCCTTAAAAGTACTGTAGGTAATTTTTCAGTATTTTTTAAACTGTCTTGTCAATCAAGTGCTACTTGAATTTTATTTTTACATATTTCATTGCAAAAAAATTTTATTATAATAATTAATTAAATTATTAGAAAAAAAATTATTACAATTAAATGTTTAATTATTTGACTTTAAATTAAATAATTTTGTCATTTATTAATTATATATATATATTTATAATAATATTTATACTTGTATTGAATAATTTAGTGAAATATATATGATATATGATTTATTTCAATGAAAAAAATTAATAATTTAATTAAATTTTTACCATTATTGATTGCGATCAGGTGTATTTTAGGTAATTTGATCCCGTATAATTATAAGTTTTTCCAATTTGTTCCGTTGTTAATTATAAGTGGGTCCGAATTTATAGGATTATGGTTGCCAGCCATTATATTTTGTCGTTTGTGGAGCCGTAAATGCGGCCCTAAATTATAAGTGTGTATATGTATGAGAAGAATAAAACCTGTGAATTACAGTAAAACTCCTCTAAGGCGGAATCACAGCGGGCGGTACTGTATCGGTGAGAGTTGTGAATGCCTGAGTGATGTAAAACTCAGTGCTGAAATCTTTGAGTGCTCCTTATTACAATTTTTATTCCATACAAATAGAAACCACTGTTTATAGATTCTTGACACATCCCTGAATATTCGCTCACTAATACACAGAAAAAACCTAGTCTCATTTTTGTTGCAAATCAAAATGAGCCAATGTTAAATGACATAGACAGTGGCGCCACCAATCTGGTTCATTTTTGTTGCACATCAAAATGATTTTTTTTCTGTGTAGCTTTTTAATGGGTCTCTCTAAGGCGGAATGTGCTAATTGCTTTCCGCGTTAGAGGAGTTTGACTGTATTAAATTTAACTATACGAATTATTAATAATGTAGAAAATAAGTTTTTAATAGAAACTTTTCATTACATGAATTAAACAAGAAAAAAGTTTGCTATTTATAAATTATATACACAGAAATGCAGACTCATGCACGTCGTTTATTTTTTTCGTTTCGTTGAGAGATTCGTAGATGTAATGGTGGGAATTACTATTCCTCAAAGTAAAGTATATTATAGAATAAATATAAATTTTCTATTCGTATTAATATTCCATTTGAATATTAGTGACTTTTCAGTAAAATTAAAACGTCTGTCCCATTGTGATATTAAAGGAATATTTCACTGCAATCTTGAGATAATATTAAAATGTAATATTACCATTTAATTAATTGTATTATTATTAAATTAATTTTAATATTACAATGTTGTAATGTTACTGTAGAATATGAACATGCTCTCTAAATCTGAATATGTGAAATTTGCACTTTTTTCAAGTGTATATTTTTTTTAACTTATTAAAAAGTGTAATCAACTTATATATAAATGAAATATTCACATTTTCATGTGTGAACTTGTTTTCACTTATCAATAAGTGAAATCCACTTATGCCTAAGTAAAATAATTAATTAAAAAAATGTTTTATTTTAGTCTGTTAAAAACTTTAAGGGGGGCGCCTACTTTAGAATGTAAAAAACTGCGTACATTTCAGGAATTTTTTTCTCAAACACATTTAAATAAATTGATGCGAGATTTAGTGTATGTTTTCTTATATATTTAAATCTTTGAAATATAATTTTTTGATTAAATGAAAATAGAATTTAATAATAAAATAAACGCCATATATATAACGTCTCGCTGCTGAAATTTTCCCATTGCGTACAACCTAGGGTCCACAATTCTTATCCAAAACAAAAAAACAAAATTTTTTCTTTAAATATACATTATTGCCTTCTGTATGAATTAAAAGATTTCAATAGAAAGTAAAAACTGACATTTTTACATGACTTTTTTAAAAAAAATTTAATTTTCGCCAAAAAAAATCTCATTTTTTCTTTAAAAAAAAGCACTAAATTTAACTCTATCAAAAACAAATTTAATTCATACAGAAGAGACACTTTTTATCTTCAAAACAAGCCCAGGTAGACCTTAATCGGTTGAATAGATTTTTGTCTATCGTGTACGCAAACTACAAAAACAGTGTTTTGAAAAAAACGAGTTTAAAGATTGAAAAACATATAAGTGCTGTTTTTTAAAAACTTACGGCAGTCACAGGCCTCGATGAACGACTATTTTTTTTATGGGTAGCTCTTAGATAAGACGACATTTTACTGATAAATGGTAATTTTAATGGTAGATGTAATAGTAGATAAGCGCAACAAATTATGAAAAGTATTAGAGACCGCGAGTGGATTCGCGCGCCAGGCCACGCGCTTTATTGCGTTCTACAAGCTGTAACTCGAAAAATATTTTGTATTTTGACATAATATTTTAAGAGCATATTCTCTGATAGTTGTACTTTCAGTTAAGACAACTTTTAAAAAATCGATTTTTTTGACCCGATAAAGTAGGCGCCCCCCTTAATTAACCTTAATAAAAAATTTTTTTTGTACTTATAGTTTCAGAAACTTAACTTGAAAATTTTTTTAAATTCAAATAATAGGTTAATTGACAATAATAAAATAAATATATATTTATTTCATTAATAAATATTACTTTAGTCAATTAAATGATCTTTGTTTAAATTCCAAAATTATTGATTCAAATAAAAACTATTTGGTTCAAAAAATATTTATTCGATGTTCCTTATAACTGACACTTTGTAACAGATTTTCATAGCCTCTATTGGTCGAGCGCGTCTAGGTGCAGCTCCCAAACGGTAGAAGGCTCAATAGGGTTCTAATCTCAGGGGTCTTCCTAGTCTGCATGGCAAGATAATTCCGAAAATATGTGGAAAATACTTTTTTTTATTTACTCCTCATTATTATTTACGTTATATTAGAACAAAATATAAAGGTTTCGTATTTATTATACAATAATTATTATCTGTTTTAAATTTTTTTGCACGGGAATATTTACTTATTTATAAGTGTATATGAACTTAGAAATAAGTGAAGTTTATTCACTTATTTTTTGTGTGAATATTCACTTTAAATAAGTGAAATTTCACATATTCAGATTTATAGAGATGGGAAGGTTAATATGTAAAATTAAAATTCACTTATTTTCATTAAATATTAAAATAAAATTTCAAACCCGTGTAGAAAATCAAGACTGGTCCTAGCTTGGTCCTATCTATTTTGCCCTATTATTAACTAGGTCCAAGTTTGGCATTCTAGCTTGGTTTTACAATGGTTTGTGATGCGATTTTAGCCTAGTCCTAACTTGGGTGCCTAGTTAAGACCAATTTTAATAATAAATAATTAAACAAATTAATTTTAACCACAATTAATACTAACTTTCTAGAAGGCATATCCTGTAAGTTTTAAATTAAACTCTGAGAGTTGAATTAAAATTTGAACCCTACGGGAATCGAACCCCAGACGCATGACCTAAGATACCTATAACGAACGCTTTAACGATCGCGGCTACCGAACCTAATTAGACATTTTTATTTGACTTGTCTATATAAATTTTCACTATATTTTTTTAATTCTATTTTACAAAAATACTTAAAATCATCCAGAACTTTCACTGTAAGTGTTTTTATGTTGTCAAATAATGGATTTAAAACATTATATTGCTTTGTTTAGTTGTTTAAACAATTTATTGTTATTTATATTAACTTTTTTTGTAGTGCACCTAGAAAGATGCAGTTTTTTCCTAATTTTACAATTTATCTAGTTTATATTGATATTTGATATATTTGATAATTATAAAATTAAGAAAAAACTGCATCTTTCTAGTTGTACTACAAAAAAAGTTAATTAATAACAATTATAACTTTATATTTTGTTTGATAAATTGCAAAAATAGGAAAAATACTTCATTTTTCTAGAAACATTATGAAAAATGTTAATAAATAGAAACAATTATTTGTTTAAACAATTTAACATAATAGTTGTTGCAAATTTAATTCTATATTTTATTTTATTTATAAGCTTTAAATTAATAACTACTAAGAGAAGGTAACAAATTAATAAAATTGTGCTACTGTCTATGTGTATTTCAAAAAGTTGTAAATTATGAACAATAAATTGTTTAAACAATTAAAAATTTAACAAAGTATTTTTGAAATATATTATTTAGCAATATTTATAACAATTAAATAAATTAATAAATATAACTATGGAAAAATGTCTTTAAATATTTATTACAAATTAATAAATAATTAGAACCATATAAATAATTATTAATTAATTAAATAAGTATTATCTGAGAATATTTTACACATCCTAAATTCAATCACTTTTTTTCATAAAAAATTTTCTAACACTTAACTAGATGTTCTAGCTAAGTCCAAGTTAGGACCAGTCTAGAATATATAAACAGGGGCTGCCAAGGTAGGACTAATGTTGGGCCAACAATCATTTTAGGCATACGTTGGTGATTTCTACACGGGAAGTATAATTATAACGTAATAATAAAACATAGATTATATAGAAATATAGAGGTGGTTATATCGGGAAAAGGTTTTTCTTTTTATTTGGACTTGTTTATTTTGAAAAAGATAAGATCCTGAATTCCTAATATCAAGTTGTAAGAACTTCGTATGCGAATCTTCTAATGAATTTCTATCATATTATAATTATGTAAATAAGGAACATGTGACCCATGATCATCGTTTACGCTTGAATTCAATAACCGTGACCAAAACTCGAAAATAAATTTTGTAACAGGATATATCTAAATACTCAATATTGGATGGTCATTGGAAAGAAGACCCACTTTAATAACTGTTATATCTACATGAAAAAAGGCGGTCGAGTTAAACACAATCAGAAGAAGTCAGACACCGACCTACTTTTTAAAAGAATCTCTTACTTTTGTGCATATTTTCTCGTTCATAAAGTTCTCCACTCTTAGTGTAGCAACAGCCATTCTCTAAAATCCTTAACCAGGTGCCGTTACTCGTTTTCAAAATTTTATGTTTCTCTCAAGACACTCCATATTCAAAGTCTAATGTCTATATTTCATCACTCACGAAATAATTTCTATTATTGTATGTAAATTGTTTTGTCCCGACTAAATTTACCATATTTTTTTATAGTTAGTTTAACAAAACTATCATAATTTGGTTGAATTAACAAAAAATTTGTTTTAACCAACAACAAGTTTTGATATTTTAAACAAATTATTCTGTTAAATACACCAAGAAAATTAGTTGTTAAAACTTTCATGAACTAGAAATTTATTTTTAGATACAAAATAAAACGATGGATTTAGAGTTTGGAAGCAATTATTAGAATTTTCGTTAACTGGTGAAGCAAAATATAAAATACATTTACTAAAATTTAGAAAACTGTTCATCAAATTTCCGATAACTATTCAAAAATTTGTACATTTTAATGTAACAAAAAATTTTTTCTTATTTTGTTTACAATTACTAGCCATTTTTTGTATTATTTAACACTTCCACAATTTTATTACATTGTACACAGTTCAATATTGGAACATAATTATTTAGACATAATTACCTACATTAATGCATATAACCAAACAATGGTACATATTCCCATAATACACTAAACACATATGTACACACACGATTAACACTAAAACCTGGGTGTCGATAATGTAATTTGACTTAAGAAGAGGTAAGGCAGAAGGTAAAGGGTTATTTAATTTATTATAAAAAGTATAATTGAAAAATTTAATTATTTTTGATGATCTAAAAATGTTTTTGCTTCCTCGTGGAGGAAGCTATGTAGTCCTTTCGTTTATAAACTTTTTAAAAATGGTGAAAACAAATTTTCCTCTATATAGAAACATGTTATATGAGATCCTGATCAATTGTCCGGATGTATGTTTGTGTGTGTGTGTGTGTATGTGTGTGTGGATCGTTTTTGTGAACACGATATCTTTAACAGGTTTTAATGGATTTGGATAAAATTTGGTAGGCTTATTTAATACATTAATCTCTCAAAAATGACGAGAGGATTTTTAAAAATACCCCAAAAAAAAAATTTTATCGTCTTTTTTCCAAAAATTTTTTTTTAATTGAAAAAATTTTTAAATCGAAAAATTTAAGGTAATATATAATATAATCGTCTTCTTTATGTCAAGATGAATCGATTGATATATATAAAGTATAGATTTGATTGAAATTTAAAGAATTAAAGAAAGTTAAAAAATCAAAAATTCTCATTTTAGCTAAAAAATGATGTGTTTATTTAAATTCATGTTTATATATGAAATAATTTTATTCCCTGCATTGAAACGAATTGGTTGGTATATATAAAGTATAGAGTTGATTTAAAATTTGAGAATTAATAAAAATTGAAAAATCGAAAATTCATATTTTAGCTAAAAAATTTTGTGTTTTTTTTAAATACAAGTTGATGAATAAAATAATTGTATTCCTTGCATTAAAACGAATCGATTCGTATATATAAAGTTTATGTTACACTCAAAATTAATTAAAATTTTCTTTATTTTTCAAAAAATTTAATTAATTTAAAACATTTTTAACTCGAAATTTTTTAAATCAATCAATTGAATTGGACAAATTCATTGCTTCCTTCACGAGGAAGCGAATTTTTTGCTTCACACAATGAGGAAGCATAATGTTTATGAAATAAACATAAAGGACCCCCTCCTTGTTTACATTTAATACTGATTTAAGTCAAATACTTTCCGATAGAAGAAGAATATGAGAAATTTTTTTATCCTAAAAATAAATTATTTATTTATCGTCTAATTTGTGTTAAAAATAAATTAACATGTATATTTAAAGGTTACAATTAAAAATTTCAGGTAAAATGTTTGACTAGTGAATCAATAATTTATTTTTCTATTAAGTACTTTGATTTTTGTAAAGTACAGATCAATAGAAAAATCTTCTGAAAATTATCGTCCAAGTAAATATTATTTATTTTTCAAACATAAAGACTGATTAGTTAAAAATAACAAAGGTCAAAAATTGAATTAGTAGTTTCTAACTACTAAAACTAGTTTCAAACATGAAAATATTCGTTATATTTTTTCGTTAACATATTTTGAAAGTCGATGAAAAACTGAAACTTTTTTGTATCTTGGTCATAATTCGTAAATTCAATGCTTTCAGAGTTAGATGTCATTGAAATTAAGTGAATTTTTAAAAAAAATCAGATTTTTAAAAATTCAAAACTCGAAAATTTGAGCACTTATAAAAAAATAAAAAAATACGTAAACCTTTTTTTTCTATAAAGATTGAAAAAAAATATTTACCGAATTTAAAATCCCTGGCGGAATAAAATCACTAAACGTCCACTTTGTAAAGTAGACATTGGGTAGAAACTTGGTAATTCGCAAAAATAAATGTTAAAATGACAAAATATGAAAAAATTTGAGTTGCAAAAGGTAAATAAATATCCAGAGACTCAATTCTAGTAATAATTGCGTTAAATAAAGCATTAAATATTAAAAAATTAATATAATTTGTGCAAAGTAACTTGTCGCATGTTTACATTCTATTGGTTTTTTTTATTATTTCCAATAAATTAATGTAAAATGACGTAGAACTTTACACATAATTTTAAAAAATGGTTAAATTCATCAAATTGATGTATTTTTGAGGTTAATTAATTAATGATAATAAAAATTATATTTAATCTCAATAGTGTTGTGAAATACTATAGAAACTGTATTACCGACCACATGTGATAATAAAAAGTTCGATTTTACTGTAAGTAAAGTTATAGTTATGCATAAATACTTAGATGTCACTATAGTCACCTTGAATATGCTTCTGCTGGAATATAGATTTTGAATTGAATATGACATGACGATCGTTATTTTCAGTTGATGCCAGGACGCGACTATATATATTGTATTTCGTAAGTAGCGTGCTTATTTTTTTATTATACAATTAGTTTTGTTTTTTTCGATTGATTATTTTCTGAAGGTATGTTTAGAGTCACCCTGTCAATATATTAATATATGATAATATAATATCATATATTAATATATGATATTAATAATTATAATTATTATATAGGGTCAACCGGGGTAAATCCGAACGCTTTTAGTAAGTTTCAACAATAACATAAGTTTTTTCTTTAAAAAAAAAATACTTCCGGTATTCTGGTGCATGAAGTTGTTACTTTACTTCCATAGAACAATTTTATGGGGTAGCAAAATTTTTTGATAAATTACAATCGCAGGAAACTTAGCGTTCGTATTTACCTCGATACTTTGCAACTTTCCTAAAATACCGGGGTAAATACGAACGCCACTGTATTTCAGAAAAATCTTAGGGAAAATAAATTTAAAGTATTGCAATTGTTAAACTTATATAAAAACTCAAAACAATACGATAATAAACCTATTATGTAATAATGCATCATATATAAATACAAAAATCAAACAGGTTAAAAATTAAAATGCATTACACAATTAAAACCTTCAATAACTTTGTCAAATCATAACGGATTTTTGCAAAACTTGGTACAGAAAGTATTTTGGAGTGATTGAATGTAAATACAAAAATAAAAGTCAAATTTTTTAAATTCAAAATGGCGGACTTTCCTAAAACTTATTTTTAAAAATGATCAAATTTGCTAACTCCAAATTCGTAATCAGCGACCCTGAAACCCCCCGAGTAACAATTTTCGAGCGAATCCAATGAATTTTTTAATTCTCGTCCGCCATTTTGAATTTTGAAAAACTGACTTCAAATTGGTAATTAGCGACCCCAAAAACCGTAGAATACCAAATTTTATTAAGATCCTGAAAAACTTTTTTCAACAAACCATTTGTCAAAAAAATTGAAACACTCCTTCGAGAGAACAGAGATTAAGTTTCTGCTTATTAATTACTAACGAGGATACGTAAAGAAAGAAAAACTTTTTTCTATTTACTTTTATAATGTTAAAATAATAGTGTAATGAAATAAAAACAATTTTGTGTGGCTCTGATGAAAAAAAAAATTATTGAAAATACCGTTCGGATTTACCCCGGTTTTCCAATTTTCCTGGGAAATACAAACGGTCTGATATTATTAATAAAATTTTACAGAAGGCAAAAATCAAAAATGGTTTCTGTTCTAGTATTCATAACAAACAATTATAAATAATAAAATAAATTTTTAGCTTCTTTTTCTTCAAATACGAGACAAAATACTGAAAGAGTGTTATCTTTGATTTTCAATCTTTTTTGCAATACTCGTTATCTTTGTTTATGCTGTTGCTAATTAACAAACGGAAAATGGGATAATACTTAGAATCTCTTGAAGAGGATCTGAGGTAAAAATCCTCATAACGAACTTATTTTTAAAAATTTTAATTAAGCTGAAATAATTAGCGTTCGGATTTATCCCCCGTTCGGATTTACCCCGGCTGACCCTAATTATTATTATTATACAATTAGGTTAAATTTCTTTCAAACTGTTTTTATTATAAATTTGTTAATGATTTTTAGAGGCCTTTTACAGTTAAGATGTTTATTTATTGTTTGACATAAAGTTGTTACAACATGTTTCGGCTATTTAGCCCTCATCAGGTAAGTCAATGCACTTTTTTATATAATTACAAGTATAACGAACAATTATAAGATAAATACGTGAGTAAAACAAAATCTGTAATAAATAAAAGGATTTCGATGTTATTTATTAAATTATAGGATTAAATTATTAAAATTGAAATAGAGAATTAAATTATTAAAATAGAGAATTAAATTATTAAAATTAAAAGAATAAAAGAATAAAAGACTTACCACGTGTTTGGTCACATTATTTTAATTTGTTAGTTTGATTAATTTTTTTAATTTAAATAATTAAAAAAATTAAAAATTTAAAAAATTAGAAATTTTTAAAAAATTCAAATTTAAGAATCCATGGTGAATAAATGTTTCATGGTGTTCCATGGTAATATATCTGTTATGGCAGATTTCGAAAAAGTAAAAGGAAAAAAATGTTTGAGGTTATGATAAAAAGTTAAAAAAATCCCTGTATTATCATGTAAAATATTAATTTAAGTTTAGAAGATTGATGATAAAGTAGAGTCCTATATTAACCTATATGGAATTAATGTGGTAATTTTGAAAAATTTAGAAAAATTCTAAAAAATTACATTGTAGAATCCGTTATTATTGAAAAATATATTTTGCTTAGATTTTGTGTGTCTGTATTAAAATTTACATGGTTTAATTTATTACTTTGGATGTGTATCATTTCTAAAAATTTTCTTTTATAATTATTTCCTTCTGTTTCTAATACCTTGGGGTGTTCAAAATCAAAATTATGTTTTGTATTGTAAGTGTGAGACGATAAACCTGTGTTTGTTGATTTTATGTTCATTAATTCTATCTGATAAATGTCTACGGGTTTCTCCAATATAACTCTTAGAGCAATTTTTACATGGGATTTTATAAATGCAATTAATGTGATCAAAAACTATTTAAATTAAAAAAATTAATCAAACTAACAAATTAAAATAATGTGATCAAACACGTGGTAAGTCTTTTATTCTTTTAATTTTAATAATTTAATTCTCTATTTTAATAATTTAATTCTCTATTTCAATTTTAATAATTTAATCCTATAATTTAATAAATAACATCGAAATCCTTTTATTTATTACAGATTTTGTTTTACTCACGTATTTATCTTATAATTGTTCGTTATACTTGTAATTATTTAAAAAAGTGCATTGACTTACCTGATGAGGGCTAAATAGCCGAAACATGTTGTAACAACTTTATGTCAAACAATAAATAAACATCTTAACTGTAAAAGGCCTCTAAAAATCATTAACAAATTATACAATTAGTTTTGTTTTTTTCGATTGATTATTTTCTGAAGGTATGTTTAGATTCACCCTGTCAATATGATAATACATATGATAATATAATATCATATATTAATATATGATATTAATAATTATAATTATTATATAATTATTATTATTATAATTATTAATATCATATATTAATATATGATATTATATTATCATATATTAATATATTGACAGGGTGACTCTAAACATACCTTCAGAAAATAATCAATCGAAAAAAACAAAACTAATTGTATAATAAAAAAATAAGCATGCTACTTACGAAATACAATATATATAGTCGCGTCCTGGCATCAACTGAAAATAACGATCGTCATGTCATATTCAATTCAAAATCTATATTCCAGCAGAAGCATATTCAAGGTGACTATAGTGACATCTAAGTATTTATGCATAACTATAACTTTACTTACAGTAAAATCGAACTTTTTATTATCACATGTGGTCGGTAATACAGTTTCTATAGTATTTCACAACACTATTGAGATTAAATATAATTTTTATTATCATTAATTAATTAACCTCAAAAATACATCAATTTGATGAATTTAACCATTTTTTAAAATTATGTGTAAAGTTCTACGTCATTTTACATTAATTTATTGGAAATAATAAAAAAAACCAATAGAATTTAAACATGCGACAAGTTACTTTGCACAATTTATATTAATTTTTTAATATTTAATGCTTTATTTAACGCAATTATTACTAGAATTGAGTCTCTGGATATTTATTTACCTTTTGCAACTCAAATTTTTTCATATTTTGTCATTTTAACATTTATTTTTGCGAATTACCAAGTTTCTACCCAATGTCTACTTTACAAAGTGGACGTTTAGTGATTTTATTCCGCCAGGGATGTTATATGTAAATCTCACGTAGAATCGCCCATATATATAAAACATTATAAATTATAAATAGATTATAAATCATTAAAACAATAATATTTATAATTAACAATTAACAAATTATAATTATTGTAATAACAATAATAATTAATAATTAGTTAATAATAATTTATTATGATACAATAATTATTTATAATAAATTATAAGTTATATATGATATATAAGGTTTAAAAAACCCATCTAACGTCGAAAATAACCTTTTATTTAAATAAATAATTGAAAATTCGGCTCGGAAAAGTATCCGGCGAACAGGAAGTTAAAAGAAGTGGCGCGAGGAAAGCAAAGGACCTGTCGCGTTGAGAGTGGGAGGTGCAAGGATAAATGGAGATGGGCCGTAAGGCGAAAGTGGAGAGAGTGAATAGGGAAAAGAGTGGAAACCGTGGAGTGAAAAGGGGCTCGCCGATGGGATGTTTGGAAAAGTGTAGAGGAACACGTTACCAATGGCTCAGCTAAGAACAAGAATTCATGAAGTTGTAGCAAAGTTTTTTGCATTCTTTATGAATTCTCGTTACCCTCATCAGCGACATGTATCAATTTCTTTAATTACACAGGTCTACAAATAAGACTTTTTTTTAGATGTCGGAGTGGTTTACAATGT